TTCTAAGGGTTTATTTGTCTTCCAACAATTCTGTCCGGGGAGGGAGGTGAGGGAAATAGAGCCGGTTGGCGGACGTTTTAACGTCTTGGAGATCGAAGATCAGATGAAAACGTGGTCACACTTTCAATGGAGCACCGTAATCATTCTGGATGGAAATCGAATGCATGGCGTACTCCATTTAGCGGATTGATTAGGCCTGCAGCACTGGGATAGAGCAATAAATGGCCATTATGATGACCTGTCAACTACTTCTGTCTATCCAAGTGTTAAGTTAGCCAATTAACCCGAAAAACCTATAAGCGCTCGATTGTTCTAGTCAATCGATCGATATCGATCGATTTGATGACCGTTTTAGTGCCAGTGAAGTCTTCTATTACTGAATTGTCCTTTGTCTCCAGCTCATCCGTTATTGAAATTCGAAGAAATTTGGAAAAATACTACAGCCTGACAAGGGCAAAGCCATTTTCACTTTGAGAGAAGGTCAAACCTACTAAATTACCTAACCCAATACTTTGTTAAACAACTGAGTAATTGACATCAGTAAGGCAAACAATCAACCGGTTACTAGCTTTTCAGGTCGTTTCCCGGTAAACGAGAAGGAGGAATTCCAGTGATATAATCTACACCGTTTTCAAAAGTGCAATCGTTTTTACAGAATGGCAGTTCTCTCTGTGATGTCTGCGCAGCACATTCAGACCGCTGTCTCTCACTCTCTTTCCTTTCATTCATGCAAAATCGATGTTCTCCGATCGTAAAATGGCGCCAGTCAAAAGCCCCTCTACGAATTTTTCTCCCACCTATAATCTTGTAACAAAACATAGCATTAAGACGATTACCGTAATAGATGGGAATTCAGTCGCTCACGCTCTTTGGGCCACACATTTACGACATAGCATGAGGGAATCCTGTGAAAGAGCTCCTCAGGACCGGGTCCATGAGTTCCGCAACACGCGACGCGACCGCAACGCTTGGGTTCACAAGTCGCACTCGGTTTGCGATTTAGGTTGTTTGTAAAATATTAACTATTGACGAATCCTTTTTTCAGAATAAATTAGTCCTTACTGGACCTGGTGAAATTCATTCTTCTTCAATTCGGCACTGATTGCAAGCGATTCCAACATCTAAAGGACGTCGCATGCCCCGCGTGACCGCAACGCATGGCTCTAGAGCGCGCTAGTGCTACCCAAAAAATCGATCGATCCGAGTTTAGTATTATTTTGGCCAATTACAAAAAGAATTTGCAAGGGAAAAGCATGAATGCCTTTGACTTTATAGTGATGTAAAAAAATGAGATAGTGTGGCCACAATGCACGACATGTGCGCAAGCGTTCCTCCGTAATCAATCTGTCCAACACAAAAACCAAAACAAAACAAATGGGACTCACCAATAAATATGCGAACTACGATGGTGTTGTAAAGAGGCGTCACTTGACGAGGTGGACGAGACGGTGCCAGGAGAAAAAAAACATCGAAAGCCGGGCGGGGGTGGGCGAAGGTTCGTTGGACGGGTGGACGAAAACCGGGGGGATCGGCAAAACCTCTCGAGATGAGGTCCCGAACGTCAAGTTTGGGAACTATTGCATACGGTGGGCTGAAAATACTGTAGTACTGTTTATGGGAAACGGTAAAATTAGCGAACGAACGGACAATCATATAATCGTATGAGATGGAATTATACATCTACACAATACGCACTGAAAGGAAAAGTGAAACGCCTATCGCCACGAGGGGAATGACAGAGGCCGTGGTGGCCGAGAGAAACCTCCCGCATGCGAGAGAGAGAAAGTGAATTCAGGGCGAACTTCGAGCGAGCGAAGGGGCGGCGGCAGGGGGCCGACGGGGGGAGCGAACGATCGCCAGCGCTTTGAGTGAGAGTGACCAGCATGCATCGCAGGAGGCGATTTCTCGCGAGGAGACGAGAACGAGTGAGGCTGAGTGCTCGGGGAAGCTTCTCTTCTGCGATTACCGGCGGGACATTCGACGAACAGACATTGGGTGTTGGGTGAAAAACACTGAAAAGCTCATTGACTTGGCACCGAATCGTACTATACAGCTAGATGATGGGTGCTGCCGGCTGCCGGAGGACTTGTGTGTCTCGCCGTGGGAGTCAACGAAAAACATCGCCGCCGAGTGCGTAATGGAATCGCTCGTTCGCCAGAACGCTGCCAACGAACGAAATCGTAAACATTTAAAAATAGTACCAGGAAGTGGACACGCAGACTGGCAGCTTCGAACTTCGCCATAAGTTCAACGTTCAGAGAACTCAGCAAGCAGCGGAACCAACAGCACCAACACCCCTAAGTCCTCTGATGCGAATTCCTCTACTACTAGGTTGAGTCGTACTCATCGGAAACCGGAAGTCGAAAAACCACCACCCGGAAGACCAAAGTCCACTCGTCCATGCGTTGGAAGAAGTCAAAAAAGGGAATCTCACGAGTCCAGGAAAACATGAGTTCATAAAGAGCACCTTCAAGCCAGTTCATGTCATGAGGAGAATGGCTAGAGAGTAGAACGAAGTCAGCTCTGAAACAGATAAGGTTTCAGGGGTGAGGGGTTTAATCTCTCAAATGGCTTACCGAGCTTGTTACTGGTATTACTATACTGATTTCAAGGAAACGGTATGTCGGAATTCAATGGAGGTGATACATCGCAGCTTAAGAAAGGCGCTGAGATTACAGATAACTCGATGAACGTACACCATACAGTGGTGCAACCCCAAGAAAAAGGTCCCGAAAATTTATTGACCCAATGGGTAATTATGTTGGTAGCCCCTGACAACAAGGTTTAATTTCAGGTGGTCTTAAAAAAGTCAAGAATATGCCAGAGAACCATGGGAAAGCCCTAGACCGAGGTCAAAGAGATCGAGGAATTCGAGAGGCAAGTCAAAAACACAATAAAAAGTGGAATTAGAAAGTAAATAAGAAAGGACATACATGGAAAGGGCGGCAAAAAGGTGAAGCACCGAAGGGTGCACGGTCAAATAGCATTAAGAGATTGATAAAACATAATCGACCAAATAATACCCCGTCCAGAACTCAAGGGACCTTTCACATGGGGGTTCCAATCAGATGGGTAGAAGGGTAGCATGGGTAGGATGCTTACAAGCAAATAATCCAGCTCGATGAAGGATCAGCCAAGGCGGAACATCTTACGTGAATTACATTCCGGCGTGCACTGGGCAGCTGACCTTCCGTTCCAAGAATCTTCCGTGCACTCGTAGTTGATCCCTACCGGTAGTTTCTTCGAATTTAGCTCATAACTTGTGTAATAACCCAAGGTAATGTTTACCACCAGGTATATTGGGTTGGTAATAAAGTACACGGGCAGCTATTCAATAATTCAAGAGCTAGGTGGGTGGCGAAGGTCCGGCGCCGTCGAACAACTGAACTCTAGTCAAGGAGGATTACGGAACGGGAAGCTTTTTGAGAAAATTCTTCTTCTAGAACAAAGTTCGGAATAGGAAAACAGCAAACGACAAATAGGGCTGTTCAGAGAATTATTGATTTACCTAGGTACAAAATACGGTAATAAGTTGTCGGGACCGGAAAACGGCGGCATCGGACAAGCTATGATGGCCGGGCTTTTCCAGTGCGTGAGACACTATTGCGTAACGGCTGGCACGAAGCAAGAGCGACTGGACTAGAACGATTCGGACGTGGAGAGCACGACGACACAGACGGCGTTGTCAGCGGGCCCGTCCGTAGAGACAACGGTCGGGGAGTCGGAGAGCGCCAGACCGCTCGACATTGGTCAGCCTCGATTGCGCAAGCACAGCAATGCAGTGTTAATGAGAGTGTAATGGCTACGCCCCTCTTGTAGTGGACTTCGCCGCCGTTCTTCTTCGTCGTCGTCGTCGTCGTCGTTTCCACGGTGATGAACTTTAAGAGTCACACATGCACACGCACACCCCACCCTGCCTACCCAACCACCCATCCCCACCTACCCACTCACTCACCTATCTACATGACAAGAAGTTTTAGGTGCGATGAATTCCCGCGTCAGGGAATGCTAGGGGATAGCGATTACGTGGTATATGACGAGGACGTTATTGCCCCCCGACGCAATATGATGCACATGTGTGCGCTCATCGTGCACTTTCGCCCACATCGAATTTCACTTTTCAAGGTCGAACAGGGTGGATCAAGGTTCACGATGTGGCCAAGGAACTCTTTGGGACCCTGTGCGGGCCCTACTTTGCAGTTGAGATAGAAATGTCCACATTATAACGGTCATCGCTACCTGGACCTACCGCCACCGCCAATGGACACAACTGCGAGGGGGTGATACTTGATCCTGAGCCAAATGCGAGGTGAACCATGGCTGCGGAGGTTTTTGCCCTGAATATAACTTCCCCCACAGCTAAGCTGATGCGATTCAGGAACCAGGAAAAGAAGTCGGGCTGGGCTAGGGAACCGCCTTTACCCTATCCCAAAACGGTAAATTACTTCTGGTAGGGATCACCCGTACCAAGGTTCACCCTGTCCTAGACCTGCTATCGATTATCCTCCTTTGGCTTTGACGTATTCCTATGTAAACTTACCAGGCATCATTTTTTTGGCCGGTCTTCCCATTATCCAATCCTGTCTTAATGTGGATGAGCGCCGATACGTCCTAAGTGGACGTCCGACCAGTTTTTCTGTGCTCCGCAACAGGCTATACTCGAACGTCATTCAATTAAAGGCAGATCTTGAAATGAATAGGCAGGGAGCTCAAATTCCGGATGAGAATTACATGGCTGCGTTCCAATAATTGTAGATGATCCTTCCAAACGCAAACCCAATTTTTTATGATGTTTAGGATAAATTGGAAATCAGCACTCAGCCACACTGTCGGTTACTGCTTCCATTTTAAGGTCCTTTGAAAGGCCGGTAATGAAGTTTTGGTGTTGACCAAACTGTTCAGGGATGGGCCTAGTCATTCGACATCTCTCAAAGCTGTAAGGGCGCTTGAATGGGTACACGACTTACGGAGGGACCTACTGGGCAGGCCGATGCACAAGTCAGTTCTTCAATCCCTCCCATAGGTCTGATAACAATCATTCGGCCCTAGGGCTATGAAAGGCGTGGTCGGCCGAAGAGAGTATCGATCCGGGATCCGATCCTTGGACCTGGTCAGTGTGGGTGTGCACCGTTTGGCCCTATCACACCTCCACCCTGAACATTCATCGGTACTTAACACCACTGAACTTACAATTATTTCGATATTTTAGATGAAGACCAGTACATGTGTCATAAATCCCAACGCTTTCGAGTTATGAAGGGAATGCCACGGAGAAAAACGGGCTTTAATCGCCTCTGGTGTGACCCGTTTGGGGTAGTAACAGGTCTGCCAGTCACTAACTCCCTGAGCCACCATCAGCCCAAGTATTCCTGGAATTTAGCGCTTGGAACGAGAAAGTGCAACTTACTTGAATAACATAGGAATAGATGGCTGAAGATAAATGGGAATTCAGGAAGGGATACCAGCCAGCGATCAGAAAACTTCAGTCACGACGTACCAGTTACAGGCTAAGCGAGGTGCTTGAAATGAGAAATTGGCTAGCTCGGGTGCCCACTTCTTTTAAGGCAAAACTCCCATGGAAGTTTTCGACTCCTACTTTAGTTGATTTCAAAAGGGACCTCAAATTTAATAAAAAATTTTCGAGATATTTGAGAACAAAAGAGGCACAACTGAGAATAGGCGATTCTGGTGATGATATCTTGCGGGGGAAGGGATTGCCATTAGCGAGTATCAAAAAAGAAGATTGGGGGATTAACGTTTCAGATTGTAACATTTAAGCATATCCCCACGCCTTTCCTGGAGGCATCACTGATCTTTCCCAAGACCGTGAGAGGGATTGGGAGGGAATGTACCCGCTTATTCGAGCCCATTCTCTTGTAAGAGGTCGTCGTAACCACTTCTCTGGCCCCATCGCCCCCCGGGATTGATGTGTTGGGGCTGGATTTATTCTTTTGGGCAAACATTGTAAAATTGCATTCAAATCGAAAACTCGAACTTATTGACCTGCTATCTATGCATTACCAAATGGAGTGGGTATGGTGCAGTAGACGTCAAATCGTCGTCATACCAAATCCTCATCCTGTGGATGTGGTAGGGTCCAGTTTTGGCGAAACCGGTCCTGTCAGAAGCCTTTACGGGCTAACAATCAGCCCAGTGGACAGGTGGTGTTCCGGAAAACTCGAACGAAATTCAAACTCCAATGGAATAACCCCCAACGGATCTAATTCGCTTCAAATAGCCCCGTTCCGAAATGTTCGCCTTCCATGATCAGTGGAATTGCAATGTATTCCACCACGAATCAATGTGAATGTATGCGCGCGTGTGTTTTTATCCAATCAATGTCTATGTTTTGTCAATGTAATTGTCATGACACCGGTTTTCGACATTAAAATGACAGACAACGATGGATGACGACTTGTTTGCTTTTTACAACAACAGCAATTCCGTATTCACTACAAAAGTATGCATACTTATAGATAAGGAGGAACACGACATAAAGATAGTTTCAAGGCCGTCAAAAACACCTCCATACCCACAATAACTTCGCCCCTATTGTGCATGGAACCGAGTATGCGAAAAGGGAACAGGGAAGGACGGCATGTTGAGAAGGACTAGCGAAAGAGGGCCTCGAAGTGACGCAAAACATCTTTTCGGTTACGCCATGCATATGGCTTGGACCATGCATTTCCGTATTCCAGAGCTAAGCTATACACAAGGGAAGGGTTTGATAGTTAAGTTAGTATCATGGTAATTCAGATACGTTCCTTGTGACATCCTTACTTTTCAGAAGTTCAGAGGTTGGGTAGTATAAATGTCAAAGTACGACTCCATGCAGTAGCCATACAAAGTTCAGGAAAACGGTGACGTGGGGAGGGGGTGGGTTGGGAGCAGTTGGGATAGCGGAAATGTATTGAAATAGTTTTATAAATCATTTAGGATGGTCCAGTAATCATCGTATAAGGTCTCGTTGGTCCTTTCAACAACTCAATCAGCTATATATTCCCGGAATGATCAAACTGGGATCTCACCCTTAGGGGGTAACACAGTACCGCATAGAGCAGTGGAATAGTCCAATCTACTGCTAGTTTGTAAAATTGGTGATAAATAAGGTGAAGTAGTATAGCCCTTAGGCAGTAATTGTCCCTTTTCGACCCATCTGTGGGCAAATTTTATGAATTTCATCTATCGAAAGCGAACGAACACCCGATCAGAGTAGGTTCGATCAGGTGAAATTCGGGCGCAAATCGGGTCATCCGTGGACCGGTTTTCGAGATACTGAACAGAATTCAGGGTTTATAGACTTAGTTGGATATGTGACAACTTGGATAGAGCGATTAGTGAACCTCAATGGAATACGTAATGCATTTCGGGATCAACAGGCTTAAATAGGATTTGATCCGACTCGGTTAAGCTTCTAATCACGATAATGGCACCATCATCAGCAGCACAGAATGGGAGTGAGTACATGGAACAGTCTGAGCTCTTCTAAAAATTCTGTACCCTTCTCAGATCGTTTAATCGGGCTCCAAAGAGGGCATAATCCCACACTCGGATTTTTGGTTCTCCAGGCTTCCCCATAGAAAGTGGGTAAAAAGAATAATCCTTCAATATGTTCGGGAAACTTGGCCAATCTGATAGTAGAGTGAAGCTAAACAAGGCATTTCAGACAGTGGTTACTGATTAGGGAAACCCAGAATTTCGTTCCTCTTCTGGAGGTAGACTTCCAGCTGTGGACCCCATTAGGCTTCGGGAGGGGAAGAGATGGGGCAGTGCCAAGAAGCGCTCTTACTGGGAGTATGGATCGGAGAGGATCGATACCCACGTAGGGCGATATAGCCTTCCCGTTCTCCAAAACCGTCTAATTCGTACCAAACTTCCCTGAGAGAAAGGAATTTACCGACTTGCATATC